ATTATGGGAAAAAAATTTAGTTTTAGCTCAGCCACGAAGTTTTATATCATTAAATATTAGAAAAACATTAGAAATAATGAAATGTAAAAAAACAAAAACAGGATGAAGGGCCAGCAAGTCAATACGTTGATATATGGCGAGATATATTATAACATTTTTTTTTTCAATTACACTTTCAGGAAATATGCAAATAACAATGTAGTATTGCGACAAGGGGGGGAGTATAAAATAGTTTTGTAAGTTACTCCTGAGGATGACGTAGATCACGTCGAAACATGGACGTGTAGAGTGATATTTTATAGTAGAAGCCGTACGGCTTCAATAAAGTTTTTATTGTGTAAATATAAAACATTGTTTTTAATTATTTATTATAATTTAAAAAACATTTAAACACAAGTGCCGGTAGTGCATGAAAATACATTCAGATAGAGGTGTCAGAAATAGTAAAATACCGGTGAGAAGTAAATATGTAGGTTAAGGTAACAAGTAAAAGAGTTCCGTGTTCATATGTTATAGGAGTATTTATCAAGGCTTTTCAGAAAGTCACACTTGACGTTCTCTCGACTGTTCTATGACGTATGTATTTGAATGTCTATCCAGTTTTTTCACAAACACATAGTCAACAGTCTATCCAAGTTTTCTTACAAATTCATGGTCAACATTTTCTTCTACATTACATAGTTTACTCATTAGCTCATAGTCCATATTCTCTTCAATAACATGAAGTATCATCCATAGTCTATCCAGGTTGGCTCATTAACTCATAGTCTATATTCTATTCAAAAACATGAAGTATCATACGTAGTTTATCCAGGTTGGCTCAATAACTAATAGTCCACATTCTCTTCAATAACATGAAGTATCATCCATAGTCTATCCAGGTTGGCTCATTAACTCATAGTCTATATTCTATTCAAAAACATGAAGTATCATCCATAGTCTATCCAGGTTGGCTCATTAACTCATAGTCTATATTCTATTCAAAAACATGAAGTATCATCCATAGTCTATCCAGGTTGGCTCATTAACTCATAGTCCACATTCTATTCAAAAACATGAAGTATCATCCATAGTCTATCCAGGTTTTCTCACAACTTCATTCCCGACACTCTTTACAATACGTAGAAGACATGAGGTTTAACTTAGAACTAAATTTTGGAAGAGCTTTCTCTTAAGATTCTTTATATAAAGTAAGATTGAACCTTTAAATCTTATAGCTCTGATTTGATGCAGAATATAAAACATCTCGACTGTCGGCTGACTGTACATTTGAGTTTCGTAAGAAAGTCACTAAGAGAAATAATGTGGCTAGCTGGTAAATTAAAGCGTCAAGTTCAAGAAGTTTCTCATAACGGAGCAACGACAGACTGTTAGATCTTTGGCAGTTTGTTTCGAAAATATTGTTTAGTTAAATTTTGTGGTGTATAAATAAGTTTTAACACCGATCATCACTTACTTTTCGTAAATATATCTAAACTTCAAAACAAACCAGTTTATGCACTACTTCCAACTTATGATAATTCACAAAAGTATTTTAAGATTTATTTAACAAACGCATTTAATTTTTACTGTTACTTCAAACCGAGACTAGAGCTACTTACTTTTTCAGTGAGCTGTTCATATTATAACTGACTCTGTTCTCCCATTTAGGAGGGTACGATAGGTCACGACATGGTAATTAAACCCCTAGTTCTAGGTGACACCAAGAAACCGAAAACAAACCTAACGACGTCAGTCAGTGAAGTGGAAAACAGCACTCACGTGGTTTGGAAAAGGAAAGATTTCGAAGTTGATGATCAATCAGATTATGGTAAGTGTTTTTAAATGTTGTGTTTCATCAGATTATAGTGAGAACTACTATATACGAAGTCCTTAAACAGATTAGGATAACTAGTTATATATATAAAGTATTTAATCAAAGTATAATGAGATTTTATAAAAATCAAATGTTTAGTCAAAAGAGGCAAGTACTTTATCACTTATAAACGTGAGACACATTATCAGGTTATGTTGAGCACGTGTAAACGTAGGGCATATTATCAGGTTATGTTGAGCACTTGTAAACATAAGGCATATTATCAGGTTATGTTGAGCACTTGTAAACGTAAGGCATATTATCAGGTTATGTTGAGCACTTGTAAACGTAAGGCATATTATCAGGTTATGTTAGAAGAGTTTTGTAAGAACATAAATGTTCTTATTAAAATTATGGCCAGCACTTAGAAATATCAAGTGTTTATTAGAAATATAAAGAGTGACATAAACATGAAGTGGTTTGTAATATTACACTGGAAACTGAAAGGTTTGGTTATGGACATTTGAAGTCTGAATGTGAGAAGCTTACAATGAATATACTTAAGTACACAGTTAGGTAATAATACTTTGTGTTAAGCCAGAGAGAAAATTCCATCCAAAAGTAATTTCCATATAATTTTTATCGTCATTTATCTTAGCTCAGATCTTATACAGAACTATACTTATGAAAGTACTGACTGTCACGTGTCACGGTTCAATTGTCAATATAATTAATATGCTACAAAAAGCTATACTTAAATTCAAATAGTAACATGACAACAGCACGTGACACAAGTTTTCATGAAGAACATAGCACGTCTGAATCAGTAGGCCGAATTAAATATTAAAATACAAATATTTGTTAACAGTAAGAAACTTTGATATGACTGACGCTTAGTTTCTTTAAAATAATGAAAAAAAAAAAAAACAGCAGCAAATGTTCAGGTGTAGAACGCCGTAGCTAGTGAAGCATGGCATTTAGAAGAAATATATTCGATATATATGTATTATTATTAAGCACCAAATATTGTTTCCTCCATTTTGCTAAATACTGTTTAATTGTTTTTTTTATATGAAGAAGCTTATGGTTATTGCTAATTACTGGCTTTCTTATGTCGATACACTTATTACATCAGATGAACATTTTTATATTGTTTCCGTGTCACAATGAAATGAAGTATCATTCTAATCTACGTATAGTATAACAAGTACAAGGTTTTAGTCACCAAAACCTGTCAGAACACGAATACAAGTTTTCAATTACCAATACCTGTCAAAACACAAGTATAAGTTTTCAATCACCAAAACCTGTCAGAACACAAGTACACGTTTTCAATCATCAAAACCTGTTAGAACACAAGTACAAGTTTTCAATTACCAAAAGCTGTCAGAACACAAGTACAAGTTTTCAATCACTAAAACCTGTCAGAACACGAAACAAGTTTTCAATTACCAAAACCTGTCAGAACACAAGTACACGTTTTCAATCACCAAAACCTGTTGTACTTGTGTTCTGACAGGTTTTAGTGATTGTACTTGTGTTTTGACAGGTTTTGTTGATTGAAAACTTGTACTTGTGTTCTGACAGGTTTTGGTGATTGAAAACTTGTACTTGTATTCTGAGTTTTCAATCACCAAAACCTGTCAGAACACAAGTACAAGTTTTCAATCACCAAAACCTGTCAGAACACAAGTACAAGTTTTCAATCAACAAAACCTGTCAGAACACAAGTACAAGTTTTCAATCACCAAAACCTGTCAGAACACTGAAACAACTTTTGATTCGCATTACTTCCACACCAAGAATTGCTATGAAAGAAAATAACGGCGCAGGTCAAAGATGTCATTAACAAATCTAGTTTACCAACTGAAGTGTAGTTGCGGAGATATATCTACAACCTAGACGTATTTCAGTACATGTCAGCGCACCATGTCTTTTTTCTTTTAACTTTTAAATAATTTGTGACATGTGAATTTCACCAATATACTTTTAACGAAAATTATAGCTTCTTATCATAACTTAGTTTTAGTTACTATTATTTTTTATTCAGCCCGCCTTTTAACGATTTCTAATTTTATATTTTTGTGGCTTGTGTGGCATCATATCACAATAAGACTAATAATCAATCAACCAATCGTGGTGCCCTCCTCAATTCTTAGAGTCGACGACCATGGATCTCCACTGTCTCTCGCCGCATGTACCAACTCTCCTAATTTAAACTTTTCGTCTCCAATCCATTTTCTTATGTTATCGAGCCAAGTCAGTCTCTTCCTGTCTCTCTCTCTTCTTCCTTCGATTTTATCCATCAGAATCTCTGCCAACCTTCCTTCAAGTCTAATACCTAAAGTAGCCCATCTGTCTTTTCCAGAAATTGTCTTTTTTGTTGTTGCACGTTCCAACACTTTCTCTTTAGTTTTTCTTTCGATGTTGATCTCGGCCACTCGTCTATAACTCTCTCTATCAAATAGGACGTTGATGAACATGTTCTTCCATAGATTTCTTCTTCTTGAAGCACAAATAACTTCTAATGTCGATATATTCATCCATTTAGATAGACTATTGACATAAGTCATCTCTGTCTTCTACGGTCTCTCCTTCCTTCTGTTATTCCAGTTACGACCAGACTTTCAATTTCTTCTTTCCTCAGAACGTGTCCGAGAAACTCCAACTGTCATTTTCTGATGTTAGTCAGCATCTTCATCCTGCAACCTGGTCTTGACAAAATATCTTCATTTGATGTGTAACTTGTCCAACATATCTTCAATATGTGCCTTAAGAACCACAACTCTCCATAAGTGGCGATATTGTCCAAAATTTTGATGTATACGTGAGAATTGGTATAACATAGCAACCCAAAGCTCTTAACTTCGTCCTCATAGAATTTTTTACTATTTGTCATATCTTCTTCATGTTCAGAAATGCGTCTTTTGCCATCCATATTCCCTGATTCATTTCATCAATAGCATCACATTTTAAATACTCCCAACTGTCTTTTTGTGTCAGTAGACAGGGTCCATATTTCCATCTCATAGAGTAGGAATGACCTTACGTAACATTCTAGAAGTCTATTCTTTAGCTCAATTCTCTCCTGAGATTGAAAATGCTGTTTTTGTAACTTCTCTCCTTCGCTCTATCTCTTTTCTACAACTGTCATCACTAATGATATTCGTCCCTAAGTATGTAAATTCTTCTACTTGATCCAACTCTTTAGAATGTTATTAATACATGTTTTTAGGCTTTCTTCAGATCATAAAATTGCCGTTGTCTTAGTGTTGTTAGCATCTATTTTGAGTCCGTAGTCTTTAAGACTGCTAATAACTTAAAACGATCATTTCTTTAATGGTCATATACGGATTTTTCTTTAGAAAAATTATCATAGCATCTCGACTGCACACTTTGAGTGCTGCACGCTGCTACCGATGAGGCCTTTCGCTTAAGACTGGTGGTCATCAGGTTGGTTGGGCATCGATTTATAAGCGTAATGAAGTGGGAACATACCACATGTTTATATCAGTCAAACAAATAGTGTGTGTGTTACTGATCGTGGACCATCGAGCTGCATTGGTTCAATAACAAGCTAATCAAGATAAGCATTATTAGTTTCTTTTTTAGCGTTTTTTAAAAATATGTCATTCAATTATACGGTTGTATCTAGGTCATTTAAGTAGACCTTCGATACAAGTTACTTTCTTGGTCGAGAGCTCGGATGAGCCTTGCAGGTCTGAAAAAGACAGACCAATGTTTCATCGAAACTCCAAGCATGATCACATTATTAATCTTATAAATCATTGTTTGTCAATTATTATTATATTAGCATAATTTGCTTCCATACTCAAGCAAACCCCATATATGACTATGTTTTCACACTAAATACCATTTTCCCTCGTTTCTAGAACCGAATAACTGAGCACTATTTTTTATAACAGTGCTTCTCCGCTGATGTCCAAGATACTAAACAGTTGAAAAAATATTATGATTCCTATTGTTATTATGTAGTACTTTGCAAATGCGCCTAATTAATGTTATATCATATTTGTACTTCCTAAGTTATTTTTTAAATTGCGAAACTTTTTAACAATGCTTTTACGTTTGTAGCCCTTCTAGAAACCCCAGTGATGAATAATGATGAAAATATTCGACAACGGACCAAACGTTCCGCCCCCAGGTCTGTGTGGCCGGAGGTGTTACTGATCGTTGACCATGAAGCTGCTAGGCTGCACGGGTTCAATAACAGGCTTATCAAGAGATACTTTATTAGTTTCTGGAATGGAGTAAGTGTGTGTGGGGATTAAGAATAAAACTACGTCAGTGACTAGGCTAACGTAAAAACAACAACAAAAACTGAAAAATATTTCTTTTTTAGAGTGGTTTGTGAAAATGTGTTATTCATCTACACGATTGTACTTATCTTATTTAGGTAGATCTTCGATACAAGTTACTTTCTCGGCCAAGGGTTCGGATGAGTCTTGCTGGTGTGATCGTAGCCAAGGTAAAACTATCATTGTGGTTAAAAGAAGAAGAATTACTGGAATTCATTTCTATTATAATTGTTGACAAGCTAAAGTTTGCCAAAAGCTTTTGTAAACTCGGTTTTAACTAAGGTTAAATGATTACAAATTATTGTTAATGCGTGTATAGCCTTATTGAAAGGATTTCAATTCATTTTCAATGTTATTGTTTCTAAGGTAAAGTTATTATTTGTTAATAGTTTATGTGATTTTATGTCCCAACATGACTGTGATAATCTTTTTTTTACAAATCTTTCTTTTATTGGCCCTATAGTACAGGTTTTCACTATGAAGAAACATAATAGCAACTCCATCCCACACCTTGTGGAAAGCCGTTTGGCATTACTTATTGTGATGCAATGTCACACAAACTATTGATCATTCAATGGTTTGTGTGACAATGCATCACAATAAGTAACGCCTTATGCTTGTGAAGCATGGTTTAATGATCAATAGTTTGTGTGACACTGCATCACAATAGGTAACGCTTTCTCCTCGTGAAGCATGGTTTAATGATCAATAGTTTGTGTGACATTGCATCACAATAAGTAACGCCTTATGCTCCTGAAGCGTGGTCTAATGATCAATAGTTTGTGTGACATTGCATCACAATAAGTAACGCCTTATGCTCGTGAAGCATGGTTTATCATTAGACCATGCTTCACGAGGAGAAAGCGTTACCTATTGTGATGCAATGTCACACAAACTATTGATCATTAGACCATGCTTCGTGAGCATAAGGCGTTACTTATTGTGGTGCATTGTCACACAAACCATTGATCATTAGACCATGCTTCACGAGGAGAAAGCGTTACCTATTGTGATGCAATGTCACACAAACTATTGATCATTAGACCATGCTTCACGAGGAGAAAGCGTTACCAAGTAGAGGGAATTATTATTATTTTCTGTGAACTATAGGAATACTTTTAACCATTTTTGTGAAAACAAATTAACTATTACAATGTTGATATTTTGTGAAAGACCAAATAATGACATTATGATTATGCTATTTTTGTAAATATATAAACATATAAATATATAAGACTAAAAAAAAAAAGGTGGGTGCTGTATGAGCCAATATTAAGTAAATCTTAAACCCTGCTGTTTACATGTCTAAAGATCGTCTTCGTGATGTTTGGACCAATGCAAGGCAAGGATTCAAGTTTGCTAATTGGACGTCCCACTTTGACAATCCAAATTTAAAATAATGTAGAAACATTACTAGTTTTTACATGTCTAAATACGAGGGTCTGAATATAATTTACTACAACTTTTACTTTGATGATGACCAATATTTAGCAAGAAAATCGCATGTACATGTACATATGTCTAAATCTTGATTGTTGTTGCTTCTTGAAATTTACCATTTTGATTACCCTTTTCTGAATATGGGACCAAGGGTTCACCAGAGAGTACATATGCTGCTTTTATTGATTTCACTATGAAATATCACACGGAACGTTACCATAAATGTATTTGAAAACCCATTACATGACGACAAATAATAGTTTAATTTGGATACTTTTAATAACAACAAACTGTTAGTTATTTTCACAAGATTTTTGTGATATAAATCACACTTTTAAGTCATGAATCTTTTCATTTGGTAATGATGTTAACTCAAGTGGCTGTGGTTTATCAAAGTTCAGTTTTGTAATGCTTTTTTGTTTTTCGTTATATTTGCCGCCAACACGATACTTTACTTGTTTTAAGCCTGTGTTGCCAATACTAAAAGAGTTTTAGGATGAGCTTTGAATTTTTTCCTTCAAATGCGCTTTGCATCATAAATCAACACGATGTCCATTGTTCTTCTAACCTGAGTATTGTTTTTTGCATCATAAATCAACACGATGTCCATTGTTCTTCTAACCCGGGTATTGTTTTTTGCATCATAAGTCAACACGATGTCCATTGTTCTTCTAACCCGAGTATTGTTTTTTGCATCATAAATCAACACGATGTCCATTGTTCTTCTAACCCGAGTATTATTTTTTGCATCATAAGTCAACACGATGTCCATTGTTCTTCTAACCCGAGTATTGTTTTTTGCATCATAAGTCAACACGATGTCCATTGTTCTTCTAACCCGAGTATTGTTTTTTACTAAATTGTGTGATCGAAACTACTTCATTTATTAATTTAATTTTATGAGCATTTCTGAAAAGTCTATGGTTAGTTGGTTAAAAAGCTATCTCTCAAGTTCTGAGAAAACCTTAAACATCAACAGTATTATAAAGTGACTGGAATGTTTTGCACTTTTCAAGGAAGACAAAAAAAAAAGATTAATATCAAAAACTTTATGAACTTACAATCCCTCTACTATCACAATGTCAATAAGTCAATTACTGGAACTGGCTTTGATTTCTTAATAGTTTGGTGAATTTGTGACCTTTGACTTTTTAATTTACATTATTTTATATAGCAAAAGGTTTGATAAATAACAAAAGTAGTTAAAATTAGGCCTATGTGACAGAATACTGACAAAATGAGCACTTCAATTATTAAACAAGCACTATGAATAAAAACCTTCATATTTTCTTCATTAGGAAATCAATAATTGAAGTCACAAAACGTTTGTTTTACCCTCCATGTAACTGACAGTGTAGAAATTCTTCTTATCATTGTCAACATTGATTTCATTCTTTGATGTTAAAATACTCCAAAGCGTTTAACAAAATAGCAATATGAGCATTAATTATGACATTTGATTTGTTTGTAATGTTTAATGATAAGGTGGAGAAATCAATTTGTTCAAACAATGGTTAGAAATTATGAGTTCATTCTTCTTCTTCTTTCAGTCCTCTTCAAAACCCAGGGATTATAGAAGAATTTAGTTAAAACACATGAAAAACGGCAGCATTACAAAACTAATAAAAATATACTTATAGAAAAATTTGGATACTGCACTTTCCTATACATTCTTTACTAAACAGGAACTGTTACCATGACACAAGTTCGTATTCATTGATCATAGCAAAATTAAAACTGAATTAACAGATCTCTTCTTGTGCATTTTTCAGCGTTAAATTATAAACGAATTAAAGGATTGTTTCTTGTTATTAAGCCTCGTTTTTTATCCATTTCTCAGCGTTATCTCAAGAACTATTCTCGAGTCCTCATTGTTCAGTGTTACATGAACCTTCATTTATAAAATCTCTTGTTATTTTAAAAATAAATGAATCATTTAATGAAACGCTTTCACTACTCACAAGGGTTGGTTTTAAGAAGAAACACACTCTAACTTACTAGTGGATGTTTCTATAAAAGTGAAGTTTGATGAAGTTCTTTGGCTGCTTCCAAAGTTCTCAAATTACGATATTTCCTTGAATCACAGGACGAAGCCGCCACACCTTACCTCGCAAACAACATACTCCCATCCCCAAATACAGATGCTGTTGATGCAGGAGAAGCTCTCAAAGACCTTGGAAAATACTTATACCGAGAATATCGTCTTCCTAGCTACGACGTAGCTGTTGTCGTGACGAAGCTGGACATGTGTCGGCGTCGCACAGAGGGAGGTCGTTGTAACCGAGGGACCACTGGTAAGACAGTAATGTATTTAGCATCTGGATGGGAACCTTGTGTATTAAAAAAATTAACAAGAAATATTTAACTATGATTAAACAACAAAAGTGTCAGGTAGCACAGGTAGATTAGAAGTGTTTGGTACTTAGCATCTGGCAGGAATAGTTAGAAATATGTTACAGTTTCAAGAACAGGAACAGGTGGTTGTAACCAGTGATAAAATGTGTTGAATTTATATAAAATTGGATCTCTATAACTAATGGTACAGGCAAGTTATATGAATGCATCTTTACCACAAGTATTGTCCACTTTTTGTTTTTCTAATTTAACCTTTTTTCCCCTCTAAATCGTGTTTTTTCCGTCCGTACGTTCATTTAAGGTCTTCAAAATTCACAAGCAAGAAGCGGAAAAATATTTGCGAAGACTACTGATATTCTAGTGTGACCAAAACTAAAGTAAGGACGACTTTACAAAGGCTGTGATATGATTTTAAGGGATTTTTGGAGGAGGCTCACTTTTAGTGAATAAGATTTAATAACTTTGGCTCAAAACAATCTAGTGAAATACATCTACGGCTAATGAAGCCTAGTCAATTTATAAAAATAACAACAAAATAAATGGAATCAAATTCGATGACGAGGAACCCACTTTGAGACTAATAATGGCTGGAGACGGCTTAAATGGGTACTGAAGAAAAACTTTAATATAAGTTTAACATGACAGCAAATGTACAACGTTTCGACAAGGTTTTGTTATCTTTAGGTACAAAAACATTTCTAAACATTGTAAAATTTGTGTCATTTTAAACATTTATTTAAA